TCCACAGTTCAGAATCACCGCATCAGGTACACTCAGGTACAACGCACATTTTCTGGTAGGGACAAGTACAGAAATGTCTAGGTTATATTCTTTTTCATATTCTTCTTTCAGGTTAGGTTTTCATATTCTTCTTTTAGGTTAGGTTCTTATATTCTTCTTCAAGGTTAGGTTCTTATATTCTTCTTCTAGGTTAGGTTCTCATATTCTTCTTCTAGGTTAGGTTCTCATATTCTTCTTCAAGGTTAGGTTCTTATATTCTTCTTCTGGGTGAGGTTATCAAATTTCTTATCTACCAAATTAACAAGTTTCTCAATTTTCGCATTCCTTTCTTCCAAATTTTCAAATTCACAAACTTTGAAATTCTCAAATTCACAAATCTTTGAATCTACAAATCTCCTAACTTTCATAATTGCAAATTTCCAAAATCTCTATATTCCAAAATCCCCATATCCCAAAATCCCCATATCCCAAAATCCCCATATTCCAAAATCCCCATATCCCAAAATCCCCATATTCCAAAATCCCCAAATCATCAAATCCCATAATTCCCAAATCCCCCAATCCCCAAATCCCTAAATATCAAAATTTCAAATATTCCAAATTCCCTAATTCCCTAATTTCCATATCCTCAAATCCCCAAATTCCCTAATTTCCAAATCCATAAAACCCCAAATCCTTAATTCTCCTAATCCCCTAATCCCCTAATCCCTAAATCCCCTGAATTCCTAAAACCCCCAAATCCTTAAGTCCCCTAATCTCCATATCTCAAAATCCACATTTTCCTATATCCCACAATCCCCACATCCCAAAATCCCCACATCCCAAAATCCCCACATCCCAAAATCCCCACATCCCAAAATCCCCACATCCCAAAATCCCCACATCCCAAAATCCCCACATCCCAAAATCCCCACATCCCAAAATCCCCACATCCCAAAATCCCCACATCCCAAAATCCCCACATCCCAAAATCCCCACATCCCAAAATCCCCACATCCCAAAATCCCCACATCCCAAAATCCCCACATCCCAAAATCCCCACATCCCAAAATCCCCACATCCCAAAATCCCCACATCCCAAAATCCCCACATCCCAAAATCCCCACATCCCAAAATCCCCACATCCCAAAATCCCCACATCCCAAAATCCCCACATCCCAAAATCCCCACATCCCAAAATCCCCACATCCCAAAATCCCCACATCCCAAAATCCCCACATCCCAAAATCCCCACATCCCAAAATCCCCACATCCCAAAATCCCCACATCCCAAAATCCCCATATCCCCATATCCCAAAATCCCCATATCCCAAAATTCCCATATCCCAAAATCTCTGAACTCCGAAATTCCTAATCAAATCTCCAGCTACCTAATTTCGAATTACCAAAATTCCCAGCTGTCCAAATTTGAAATTTCCGAATTAAATCTTGGGAAAGCATTGCACCCGACTGTACTGTCCTGTACACGCGCGCATACGTCACACGTCTACGACACGTGGAAAGCAGCCTTAAATACATACGTGGTACCACATCCTTCGTAAATCATCGTCGAAGGGAAAAAGAGACGCCTCTGTGCACGGTTAACATAGTTGTCTCGTTGTTTCCTTCGCGAACGTAAACTTTATACAAGCTTCACCGACGTTTTTCCACCTGTTACCTGACAGGTTCCTCATCTCTAGTCTTTCCACATTTTCATGGTGTTTTCGATGTCGATAATAATGTACAAAGACGAGCAATGAAACGAGATAACGACCACAAATGATACGTTTACCTATATGTTTCGAGTAACACTAAGGTTAGTGGAATAACAACACTGCTTTCGAGGGATGAACAGAATGTCTTTTCTTTGTTTCTGGATTCTTACGGGGAACCAGTACCATGTAATTACCATGAAATACCGCTATGGTGTTATCACACCTTTCTGTCTGTTCTCTTTGTCGTATCTCGAATCGAGATTGCGATCTTCTCTCGTCTTTATAAAGTGGTTTGACCTGAGACCTTGATACTTGACTTCGACCGCATGCTTTCTTTCTCCAGGTGAAGCTTCGAAACCTTTTCGAAGTTTTGGTTACAATTCTGAACGGTTTTGGTTATAATTCGTAAGGTACTTTCTTTGTTCTATTTGTTATTCGCTAGAAGTAGCTGAAGCTACTGTTTCTTTTCTACATAATTAGAAATAATTAGCAATACTTCTGTATAGTATACTATAATTAAAACTGTATCTAAGTGTAACTTTTTACTTTTCTTTCCATTTTGTCATTTTTATCTAGTTTATCAAATACAAATTATTATTTGGATACGAACAATTTTGCATTTATAAAATGTATTAATTTTGGAACTTCAAAATTAATAGACGTCAGTCTTAAACGACTCCATCAACAATTTTTACCAAGAGTATAAAACAGTCGTAATATTATAAGAGACCTAACTAAACAAGAGAAAAATGTGTAGACATCAAATCTATAAGACCGGTAGGTTCGTACAATTATCGTTAATAATCGTAATAGCGGACGTGTAGGAGCACGGAAATAGTCGAGATAGAAAATTCGTTCATTGAAATTAAGCCGTATATAATCAGATAATGTTCTAATTTCTCGGCGAAGCTCTTCCCCTTAATGTTCGATCGGAAGTTCAAGCATGATAAATGGATCCTGTGCTTCGATGCTGCTAACGGTACTATCAGATCCTTTTATCCTTCTCCTGCAACCTCATATCCGCAATCACGATGAAAGCCTTCTAGCTGTCCACATGCACGAAGTGACTTGACCTCGGACCTCGATACTTAATAAATCGAACTTTTTCTCGCATGCTACCATGCCTTTCAACTCGTGTTGTTCATCCTCGCATTTGACACGGCGGATCAATCACTTTGACCCTCGTAGAAACGTCATTGTACGATTTACGAAACTGGATTTTTAAGAACGATTTAATCATTGCAGTTTTAAGAATTGTTACGAAACATTAAATTCATGTATCTACTAAAACATTAAATTCATGTATCTAAATTATTATATATTTATTAAATTTAATTTATACTTACATTCATACGATATTTTTTTAATGATTGGACACTAAAACTGGGGACACTGTACAATTTAAATATATTACATTTTTTTATTAGTTCTTCAATAAATATGCTGCTGTAAATTTTTATTTTGTAAAGTAAGATTGATGCTGTACATTTTGTATGGTTTGTGTAATTAATTTTACAGCTGTGTCAAAATGGTTGTTTGCTTGATTCAAAGGTAATATAACCTATAAGTGTTTTGTTAGAAAATAATGCATTACTGATGTGTTACGAAAATTAAATTTTTCCAACGTTTATTGTTTTATTATATTTAGAATCCTCGTTATTTTTGCTGCAATCTTTCATCAACAGTATTGATATTGAAATAAACTATACAATACACTTATTGTTTCATTAAAGAATTATTTCACCAAAATGGTTCTTGTTGTGTCATCAATTTTCAGATTCGTCTTCATGTTAAAAAAAAAATGGAGTCACGTCCATGTCTAACGGACGTAATCCTCTAAACTTGAATTTGACAGGCAACTTCAATCGAATTGCTAAGAATTTGAAAGGCCCAATGGGACCGAAACGAAGTTCGTCGCGTACGGAACCGTGAAGTAACGGTACAGGGATTCTGGAACCCCGCACAGAAAAAAAAAAGAAGAAAGAATAACAAGACAACTCGGCCATTCGCGATCCCTCCATACGCTCCGTTCTTTCCAACGTTGCCTCTCGTGGGTTCTTTCTCGTTCATATCCCGTTTACGCCTCTTTCGGCCGTACAGCGAGACCCGTAATTTAAATGGAATGCGGTGTAAATTGTGTCGACGATACGTTGCTCGATAATTAGTCCCCAAACGGACGATTCGAGAGAACGATAGGAACCTAGTTTTGATAGAGAATTCGTGAGAGAAAGCAATTACTGATCGTTCCATGGATTTTCGTATTGCCGCTGGATTTTACGATCAGATACTCCGAAATGTCACGTAGGAAAATGTACGTAAATAGCTTAGTTCTTGTGATACGAGAAAATTTTAAATTGGTTACAAACATAAGAGTATACATAAGTTTGTAAAATAGTCACAGAAACGTAAAATCTAAATTTAATATGTAATTGAACTTTCTATATAATATAAAGGAAATTTTAGAAATTTTTCTAATATACAAGCTGCTTCACATTTGAATCATACCAAACTACATAAAATACAATAAATAATTGTTACCTACTTCCTGAAATTTAATATAATATAAACTTTTTATTCTTATTCGATATAAACCTCTATATTGCCTATATCAAAAAACCATCCTACTACCCGCCAATACTGCACCCAAATATAAAATCTAAATTCTGAATTAAATTTTAAATTTCGTCGATCACCCCGTATAAATAACTGCAACGATAGTTTGAAGATTTCGTAAACGACCAAATAATTAATTAACCTAGCATTTTTGAAGATCGCCGCTCGTTAACGCGTGTTTCGTTAATCAGCAACGTGCATCGTTGTCGGAAAGGGACACTCGGTAAGTTTATTCTCGCGTTGATTTATCGATTACGAGTGCGGTTGATTTTTTTTCGTCGCGCAACGAAAAATCGTTGATCGTGAGCCGGAGTTCGTGTAACACAATTACCTGTTCCATTGCCTCCCTGCATTGTTACGCGGATCCGTTTACGTTGGCCGAACTTTCCCTCCACGAATGGTGCCGGAACGAGACGGAATCGCGTGTCGTGATTATATTATGGCGCCCCACCGCAGTCGAATATTATTTGCATCGAAATTTCTGACAGCTCAGATTGCGTCCCCTTATGTGTATGTACGGTTCAGAGGAAAAAACTACCTCCAGAAAAAAATGACAATGAATATGAGAAAGATCCCTTATTTGTAAATTGAACAATCAAAACAAAACTAAATATTATATCCTCTATTATTAAAAAATTGTATACATTTTCGAGAGTAGCCCATTAACACGCAAATCTGTGTATTTGCTTACAGATTCCTCGATCGGTGATCATCGTCAGGGTCGAATGTCCCTTCAGACTGAGCTGCCATCGTCGAAAGCGAAGAGGGAGCAAGCTCTCCGCAGCATCTTGGCGGCGAGAAGACGACAGATTTTGGGTCAACGACCAATCGAATCTAGAAATCAGAATCGTGCAAAACCCACAGAAGCGAAAGAAACGTCGGACGTTCTGGAAGCTCAAGAAACGAAACATGGGATGTACGTGACGGCATCAGCGAACGGGAAATTGGAGCACTCGATCGATGAAGAATTAGCGATCAAGGATGTGGACATCGAATTCGTCTCGAAAGAATTGGATAGCAAACGGCCGGTGGAGAGTTCGAAAAGATCCAACGAAACTCTTTCAAGTGTCGATAAGCCTGACTCCAAAACGGAAACTTCGACCAATCAAAAGAATTTATCTTCCACAACGTCCGGTCAGAAATCTTCGGACACGGATATTCGGAAGAAGAACATCGTCTCGATGCCAGAGTCGTTGTACAACTACTTCAGGCCGGTGGAGAGTAACATACCGGTAGAGGACATGTCTCAGTTTCTGTATTTCGGTCAGAAGATTCAGCCGGAGGCTCAGAACAATACGGGGAACAATTCCGTGGAGGCGACGCCAACGGCGCCAACCGCGCCCAGTTCTCGAAGACGGTACTCCATGAAGAGGTACACCACGACGACGCCGGTATCGATGCCGATCCCACGGCTGGAGGAGATAATAAACGAGGAGATGAACATCGCGGTGGAGCGTCGCACCGTCGAGAAGAACAAGATGTCGAAGATCAAGAATGCCTTCAGGAGCCCGGAAAATGGCGTCTATTATAGGAAAAGCAGACCGACCGAGCCGACGATCGCTTCGAACGTTATCATGGCTGGCAATACCACGGATACGAAGTCGGGTGGCGGCGGGTTTCACGAGGACAACCCGTCCGCTCACGCCGACACGCCGGGCCAGCTGCGGCACGAGAGAGGAAGTGCTGCTACCCACGTGGTCGCTGAAACGAGGAATGCGACCAACTCGACCCAGATACCGTACCAGCAGCCCGTTTCCGCGAACACGTACGAACCAACCGAGACGGAAAGTGAGACCGTTTCCCGCGATCGTCCTACGGACTCCTCGAGCGAGCCTAACGCGATGTCGAACGGAGTGGAGCAATCCAGAGCTGCTTCGATGAGCTCTACCGTTGAGGATACTTCCCCGATGGAACGAGATAAAAGCGACTGCGCGATCGAGGACAAGATTTCCTCGACGGAGATGGATATGTACGGCGATCAAACAGAGAAGAAGATCAGGAGGATCGACTACGAAGCGGATTTCAATAGAAAATCCGATAAAACGGATCAACCTCGAGGCTCCAGCTCGCGCGAGAACAATAACATCGAGACGTCGACGTCCAGGGACAAGATCGGTCGGGCGAGCACGGAGCCGTTTCGGATCTCGTGGACCTCTCCCGAAACGTCCACCCTCAGGATCATCGTAACCGAGGGAAGTCTGGAGCAGGGTTTCGCGATCGGCGCGGACTCCGCGGAGAAGTATACCGTTAAACCGGTCGATTCCACGGAGGAACGAGTTCGTAGCGTCGCTTCCGGCGATGTTCCCACCACGAAGGCTCATTCGACTACGACGACGACGACAACGTTCGAGGCAACGACGAGCGGATCCAGCAGCGTGTCCGCGATCGAGCCGGCACTAGCACGGCCGAAAGGTCGACTACGGGAACAGAAGCAGCAACAGCAACAGCAACGGCAGCGCACGGAAGGGAATAAGGTAGATCGTGAGGAGAATCAGGATCGGCAGCAGCATCGACATCAGGAACAACAGCAGCAGCACGTGTACGCTTACACGATAACGAACGTGACGCGGCTATTGCGCAACTACACCGGACCTGGGTTAAGCAGAGAGGAAGAAGGAGGGCCAGAACGGAGCACCGGTACGACCGAGATAACGACCGGATCGCTGCAGCGGCGTCAGCCACCGCCGCCGTCTCTTCTTCTGCTTCCTCGTGCCGGTAGTGGTATAGAGGCGGCCAGAGCGCCGGTGGAACTCAGTGCCGGCCGTCGAGCCAGTCGGTGGAGAGTCCGTGGCACACCTGGTGGGGGAACGACCGAGGAAGGTGGTCGCAGTCGCGCCGCAGTCGCAGCAACGCGCGGTCAACGAAACGACGACGACGGTGCAGCTGACCAGCGTAAACAAGAGCGGCCCGTGGTCGGCCAAGCCGACGGAACCGAGCAACACCGCTGCCCGAGGAGCGGTGGTTCGATGGAACCATACTAAAACCAGGAACACGGACCTCGAGGGTTTCGGGGACAGGAGGTTCCTCAGGAAATCGGCGAGCGCGGTGCTTAATCAGCGAATCGGAGCGAGCGGCGACGAGGACGTTCCGGTAATCGGGAAAAGACGGAGGCCGACAAATGGCCAGATCGGCTCGTCCAGCAGGAGGGTGAAAGGTTCCAGCAAGATCGTGGACGAGAGCTTCGCCGTGTCGAATGGTTCGATCGGTGATAAGAGAAATTTCGGTGCCGAGAAGAAGACAGAGGATGCGGTGGAGGGTCGAGGCTTCCGAGAGCTCGCGTCCGTTGATGTGAATCGAACGAGCGAGAAAAACGTCGCGATAAACGAGACGGTGGAAAACGTCACGATGCAGCAGAGAATCGCCGTCACGACGTCCTCTCCTTCTGGGAAGGAAACGATCGATTCGACTACCCCGCGGGTGTCCGACAACTCCACGGAGGAGGATCGAGGTAATCTGACGGAGACGGTGACTCCGATGAACAGGTACGCGGAGTTCGATGCCAAAGACAAGAATACGGTGTTTCGAAGCGATAACGATAGTGTCGGTAGTAGTTTATCCCACGGGAACGTCAGCGGCGGTATGGTTAATGGTACCAAGAGCGGAAGCGGTTCGCCGACCGTGACAGTGACCGCGACAGTCGACGAAACGACCGTGCTCAAAGAGACTGTGTCGACTATCGCGCCGATACCGGCGCCAGTTTTTCCAGTTACACCCAGAATAATTACGGAAGTGGATCGAGCGCCGGTCGAGAAGGAGACTTTCACCTCGAAGCCGACCGAGTCCACGAGCCAGGTGACGGACGTTGGAACGACCGAGCCGCCCGAAGCGGCTAACCTGAATCCCTCGGAGAAGACGGGATCCAAGTTCGAAGACGCGACCGCAACCGCGACAAGTACGACGGAAGTGCCGACCACGACGATGACCACCGTGCAGATAGAGATTGCCACGGTACCGCAAGACCAAAGCACCACTTCCGAATCGAGCCAGCCGAAACCCGAAACGTCTACCGGTCCTTCGATCGCGGAGCCGAAGAGGATGTCCGGCGAGAGGTCGCCGGAAGTCAGGCCACGAAATCTCTCCGACGAGTCGAAGGACAAAGACGACGTGTTGCCTATAATGCATCTGTATAACACGTCGGACATATTCAACGGCAGCGGGCCCATGAACTCGTTCTCGCGCGGCACGGAACGACGAACGGAGCTTCCGGTGGACCCGAAGCGACCCGAGCTTTCCAGAACGAGCGAGAAAGCCAACGACACCGTGACCTCTAAGAGCGTAGCGAACGACGTGTCCGCTCGTGTTCCCGTGTCCGACTCCACCAGGAAGGACAAACACGACGATGCTCGCGAAACCTCCTCTCAGGTACCACCGACGGG